AAAAAAAAACTTTATTTGCAAGTTTTGGTTCATTAACATATTACTAAGTGTATGTTACCATCTTAAAATCTGAGATCATATAAATCGGAGGGCTTAATTTTATTGTATACCTTCGAAAAAAAATTTGCAGGCAAAAGAAAAAAGTGTAAAAATAGAATGTTTTTGATAACAGATTAAAGACCAATTGATGAAATTTATTCTATACCTTTCTTTTGATCGCTTACCAATTACTCAGTTACTGTTACCATTTCAGTAATTATTTCTATAGCAAAAAAAAAGAAACTTTAACTTATTCATTTGTTTTTTCTTCGTCTTTCTGTTTTACAAACAAAATGCATACAAATATCTTTTTTTAAGTCCAAAAAAATTACTTATTTTTTCTTTATAAACAAAACGGCAAAAAAGATGCTTTGTTTATGCTACACAATTAGAAACAAATTTTAGAGGAAGTTGCAGAAGAAAAGCGGAGAAAGCGGAAAAAATTACAGGCAAAATTTTCTCATTGAACAATTTATGCACGTGTTTCTTATTTTATTTTATTTTATTTAATGAGCGCTATAATTCTGCTATATTTCTGCCGTCAGTTGCTTTTCCTTGTTTCAGGAGAAAGATGAATATTACTTTGAACGATCACCAAAGCTTTTTGATTCCATTTTCAAACATTATGTTTCTGGACATTTGCATAGACCGTTGGATGTATGTGTTGAAGAGTTTAGAGCCGAGTTGAACTATTGGAATATATCAGAGAATGCAATATCGCCGTGTTGTTGGCGACCAAATTGTTGCGAACAGTAAGAAACGAATATTTTCTTGATCTTTAGTTCCAACATTTAGCTGACGCCAAAACTAGTTAGTTGCTTTAGATTCATGTTTGCTACAAAGCCTTCAAAAGTTTTGTAATTACTAAGATTATGCTAGAATAGACAAACACCTGTTACCCATAGTTGCTCCTGTGATTACAGAATCGGATGTCATAGCGTAGGGTACCCAAGAAAAAGGAGATGAATAAAATTTAATCAAGTAGATCATATATGATCACAAATAGCATTTCTGTTATATCTGAATTGTATTCTCTGTATTGCAAAACTGTACCGCTGTATCAGATGATTAGTGTATGTTACTAGTTAAGACTTAAACAATTGCACTATTTGTAGAAGCAAAAATGTTGATGCTGACAACTGCGAACGGAAAGGTCTTGACTATTTTCCGATGGTAATTCGTACGCCACGTCAACGAATCTATGAAATTTTTGAGGGCGATGGAAGTGTTATTTCTAATTTATTCATATTTGCCAGTATTTCATTTGTGCTCATCTCTGTTGGTGGCTTAATTATTGGTTCAGTAAAAGAATTTCAAGTAA